AATCCCTCTTTTCAGCTGAAAGGGTAGTGCCATCCTAATTAAATATTGTGAATTGATTTTCACTATCCTTGGAGTAAAGGTTTTTAAAGAAAGAAAGGAAAGMTTMRGAAATTTCCTYAGGATTCTCCACTTCTCTCTGATTAAGATTGAGCTTAGAAATAAAATTCTTCCTACTTCTTCCCGAGGCATAGGTGTGAAAAAATCAGGAATGATTGTCCCCTTCTTTCAACCATCTCACACTTGATCTTTGTCTCCAATAGATCTCTTCCCTTCTAACTAGTTGCTCCCATTCCTTTTCTTAATTCTGCTATTTTATTTCTGTTTAAGGCATTGAGGGTCCCATTTTGCTCTCTATTGTCCAAGTCCTCTAATTCCGAAAGTATTCTTTTCTTCTCTTCTTCAACAGCTTTAAATTCTTCTCTTCCCCAAGCTTTAAGATTTTTCTTCAAAGCTTTTAGTTTCTGAAGAAGTCTGAATCCAGCCCAACCCTCTACTTTGCAGTCTTCCCACCATGTTGCAACCTTTTTACTGAAATCTTTGTGTTGTAACCAGAATTTTTCCAATCTGAATGGGGTCTTTCTTTTGATTATTCTTTCGGTGTTCAGCAATATGGGCTTAGTGGTCTGAGGTACATTTTGGACAAAGTTCTTGACACAGATTTGGAAATCTCTCCAACCAATCCTGAGATAATAAAAATCTGTCAAGTCTGCAACTTATGGCATTTTCTTGCATGTTTGACCAGGTAAAAAGTCCATTGGTAAGAGGAGATCACATAAATTGTGTCTGTCAATAAAATTAGAGAAATTTCTCATGCTTCTGGTTGGGGTTCTACCATTAGAATGTTCTGAACTGAACCTGGTKACATTGAAATCACCCACTAAACACCATGGTATGTCCTCCTCCTCATGCAGGGACTCCAACTCAGCCCAAAACCTCACTCTATCAGCGGGAGAGTTAGGACCATACACACCAGTGAGGATCCAGCTGAAGTCATTTTTAATATTAGTGAACAGAACTGAGATTGAGAATTCACCTCTGTCGATCTCCAAGCCTGAAATTTCATCTTCCTTTCATGCTAGAATGATACCTCCAGCGGACCCCACAGCTGGAACAGCTGTCCATTTTCTACCCCTTATTCCCCATATGGCTTTCATAAGTTTTCTGTCGATGACTTATTTTTTTGATTCCTGAAGGACAATTATATCTGGATTTTCTCTCTTCAATGTTTCTTTCACTAGGCTTCTTTTGAGCTGACCTCCCAAACCCCTGACATTCCAACTTAGAATCTTCATTGAATCACTTTGACAGATTTCCCCTTATTCATCCTATTTCCTTTTGAGATGCGATCCCTTATACTCCACTGAAGCCTTTTTAGTTCTTTTTTAGGGCCTTTTTTTTTCTGTTCTTCTCCTGGGCCTTTCCAGATTTAGTCACCTCTTTATTAAGGATCCTCTCCTTTTCATCTTCTTTGTCTTTTCTCACAATTCTCAAAGTTCCGGCTATGTTGTTCATTCCCAAATTCTTTGTCTCCTTCCTGCCACTGCTTGGTGGAACAACTGTCTGAATTGGAACGATTTGCATTGGGTGGGATGGCAACTCATTTAAACCTGAAAGAGTGGTAAGGGAACAAAGACAGTGAGATGTAGAAGCAGAGCAAGAAAAAGGAGGCTGAAGAGAGGGCAGAACCGAATGGGGGGCGGGGGAATTATCTGAGTGCGATTTATGGTTTTGGTCAGGAAAGGAGGATGACGAATCTCTCCCTTGTCTGCGAACAGGGGGGTTTGAATCTGAAGACATTCCGTAGCCTGGATCGATTAACTGGGTCTGTTCGAGAATCTCCACACATCCCCAACTCCCTTTGTCTGCAAACACGTCTTTAACTCTTTTAAGAGTGGACTCACGAGGGTCTGGATCTGCTTCAGTAGCATACGAGCTGAGGTTGTCCTCTGTGTCTTCTTCTTCACTGGCGGATGGCATGCTAGAGCTCACGGATGCAGTTGGAGCCATGAAAACTTTACCCAGATGCCGACCTGAACTGGGAGGAGTTTCGGGAACTGCCTGATTGAAAATGGGGGTTGCTGGTGGGCTTAAGGTGCTAGATGGGCCGGAAGACTTATGTGGGCCTTGGGTTTGAGAAGAGTGGCCCAAATATTCAAATTGGCTGGGAGTTGGGACAATATTGGCAATCCAGGAATTAGGGGGGGCTTTTGAGATTTGAGACTTTTTAATAAGGGGTTGCGCCTGTCCAACTTCTTCACGTCTTTTGAGCTCCACTACGCCTTTAGATTTGGAGGAGGAGAGCTCCTACGCAGATTCACGAGGAGCCACCACCGACTTTCCGACTTCTCTGTGCATGCCTCTACTGCAACTAGATTTCTGAGCGACAAAAGTGGAAGTGTCCGTGGAGGAGAGACCTTTGAGTGAGTTGACTCGGAGAGACTGGAAGGTGACTCGTACGTCTTCTCCACCTCCACAGAGATGTAGAACTAGACGTTTCTATCCAGAACTGGGATTGAACGAGGGATGGCATGAATACCACAGTTTTTCACCCTGATTCTGGCAAAACTTAACTTAGAGAAATTCAAAGATTGGGGATCTATGTCTTCAAGACCTCCGCAGGTGTCTCCTATCAGAGAAAAGATTTCCTTCATCCAGAGGTGGAATGGAAACCCTCTTAACTCGAGCCAACCGTTGAACCTCAACTGATCAGGGACTGCATTAATCTTTGGCCGTTAGCGCTCAATTTGAACCCAATCACCAAAAACGAAGATTGCTTTGAGCTTGGTCTAAGAGATAATCAAGTCTTCTGAAGGGGCAAAGCCAATTGCTTTGTTTTGTTCAAAAGGGCGCAATTTCAACTTGGATTCAAAATGCAAATTTGCAGTCAGTTTGGCTTCAACTTCATCCCAACTTAACGCAGGTGTTTTCGTACAGACGAAAGCCAAACTCCAGTTTCCAAATGGCTTTCCCTGATGTGCAATCGAAAGAAACGTAGACCCTATGGGTTTTATGATTTTGCTTTTGACTTGGAGCGATGGAAAGGCTTATTGCGTGAGATTAGTATGGTGGGGTTTCACTCTAGGCGGAACAACTCAGTCCAAAAATTGGATGGAGTTCCAGCTACCGGAAGTTGGTTCTTCTGGGATACAAATGTGTCTTACCTTGTCTGATTTTTCCCATCTGCTCAGACGGATGAATCTGCCCCAAGTATTTGATTTAAGTTGTAAACATAGGATTCTTCCCTTGAACGCTCTCTTACGGTCTGCTAAATGTCTTCGTTCAATTTCCAGAGCTTTTTGGATGTAGGATCTAGTCCATAGAATGTCCTCATGAGACAAAACTATTTGTGTCCAAGCTCCCTTGCCCTTTTCTGTTAGTACGAAATCATCTTTTTGATTAAAGCTTCGTTTAATTTCAAAGGATTTTGATCCGACATTCAAAGATCTCCATTCCATGATGCTTATCTTCTCCTACACACCTTACCGTCGTTCCATCCTTGCTAATCTACCAATCTACACCATCTTTACTGCATCGAAGTTTGTTTTATTCAAAAACAATTTCAAAGAGTTTCAAAGATGCTTAAAGAAAATTTTCTTTTACTGAATCGATTTGGCTGATACTTGGTGTGTATCTACTCAAAGAGTACTAATATGTGATCAGTGATTTAAAAGGCGCACCTAGGCGCACAAGTGAGGTGCATTTTAGGGTATGCGCCTCACCCAGATCCTAGGCGCACGCTTGGTGCGCCTATGCATGTGCCTGATGCGCCTTGCACCTCAGCCTAGGCGTACGCCTTTTTAAAATTCTGTGCCTTTTGCTTTTTTTTGAGCCTAACGGTTAGGCCGGGGACTCCGCCCCCACCCCTTGAGGAAAGTCCGAACAAGTCCATGTTAGGATCTTAAATTCTTATTTCTCACATAATTATGATTTTATAACTTTAATTGCCTTTTAAGAAGATATTTTATTAGAATGGATGAATGAACAACATTAGTAAATAGTAACATGAACTTGTTCAGGCTTGCCTCGAGGGGCGTGGTACAAAGGCGACTCATAGAATCAAGAATGCAATATGTTTTACATCACATTAGCTACTTGAAGTAATGAAATCGAGGAAAAAAAGAGATTGTCGTTTTTACATGCTTGAAAATGCTTTATATGTTTGCTTTTATTTTTGAATTTTCATTTGAATATGCTTTACATGTTATGCTTATGTATTTTAATTTTAGATAAAAGGATTTTTAAAACACTTATTTTAAAATTTAAGTTTATATTTTTTATTAACATTATGTTTAATATTTTTATTTTTGCATTTTATTAAATTTTTTGGCATTTTTTTGAATTTCCTGACCTTTTTTTTATTTTTTAGCATTTTTTTTATTTTTTGTAATTTTGTGCCTTGCTTCAAAAAGGAGCGTGCCTCACCTTGTGCCTTGTGCCTTAGGCGCAAATTGGCCCTTGCACTTTTAAAACACTGTATGTGACAAAATTTTCCTTTAATCCACCAAGTAACAACTTATAACATTTCCATTGGTAAACGAGACTTTTTTAAGAATGAAGAAAGAGACACATAATATCCAATGGAAAAATTCCAAATTCTATGTTGAGGTTGGAATGCGTTAATAGATGCAATTATTGTCTACATCCTAAAGAGTATAAAGGATCTCAAATACTGATGCCAATCCTTTGTATTTGTGGTTCTTTTCTACTCATGCTTATCAGATTTTTCTTGCATGATTAGTAATTTCCATGTAAGGTCAGTGGTATGTTATAGATGTTTCTTTTTGCTTCAAACTATTTTATAAAATACTTCAGCTTTCAATGTCCTTTGCCTCACATTTGTATGCTTGAATAGGTCAGTTAATTGCACAACTGATAATGACATCCTTTTTGGTGAAGGTATATACGGTTTCTAATGAATCGGTTTTGGCTGAGTTTATACCATTTGCAACTCCAAAGCTGAAATTCTACAAACAGTTGGACACCCCATATTCCTCTTTTCATTCTTTGGCGCAACATATAACGGGTTTAAAAAACAAGGTTTTGTTCCTTTTCGTTGAGATTTCCCTTATTTTATTTTTCTTCAGCTGTTTACTGTTACTCTATTGTCTTTTATGGTAGCTTATTTATTTAAATCTGATGTCCAAATGAAGCCATGCCAGAGGAGTATGAATGTGCTGTACAGTATTACGCTGTTACTTGGATTCAGCATGTAGACTATCCAAGTGTTAACTGTTTGTCATAGTTGTCTAGGCTAGACTTGGTGGTTTTTGGGCTTTGCCTAATTTCATTGCCTCAAATATTTTAGAAAAGGTGCTCACTGTACCCATTAAGCATACACCCTACGCACCTTGGTGCCTAAAGATGCTGGGAATGAACTTTAACATTCTCAGCATATTTTAAGCGCAGCAACTTAGAGAATATGGAAAATGGAGATTGGCTTGTAGAAGATGATAGCAGTGATGAATACGAATCAGATGAAACCTCAAGTCTGGGTAGTGTCGATCTGCAAGTGAAGCAAAATTTGTTTGAGACAGGGAGTTTGCATACGGAGATCTTGTTTCCGGAAGAGGAAGGGGGTGGTGATGGATCTTTTAAGGAAGAACGAAGTGAAGGAGATGCTACTAATAATGCTGTACAAATCTCACACTCCAATGATGAGTGAGCTAACACAATCTCTCAGGATATATAGGATATTAATGCAAACGAACAGACCTCTCCATTGAGCAAGGATAAGGGTGTTCCAGGAAGGGTAGAACAGGGTTTGGGTTTTCAAGAGGGTAGGCAAGATGATGGTGTTTGCCTTACCATGACCACTCTGCAGAAGTCGCCTTGTAGGGGAACGATACCAGAACCAAGCGTAGTTGGCCAACAATCCAGTCCTAGCAATCTTTGTGCTCTCCTTGTCCACTCAGGTATCATTGTCAATTCGATTTTGGTTACTAGTCAGTGTGTTTTGCCTTTAACAGAATAACAGATGTACCAGCTTCCCATCTGGAAGGTGCATTAAAGGAAAAAATAGAGGGGGAAGGGGTGGGAGAGTTTGGGAAGGATGGGGTGGCAGATAGAATTTGGGGTTTGATTTGCGCAGAGCTTGAGATACTCAGACAAAGGGAAGGTTATGGGAACAATCACTGTGAAGTGGTGGGGGATGATGCTAAGGGAGGGGCTGATGCTGATACAGGAGGTTTCCAGCCTTTAACTATGGATCCCACCGATGAGAGGGATCAAATGGGTGCAAGGGCTGGCAGAGAAGGAGAGGTGAAAATGATTACTGAGAAAAATGAGGAAAAAAAAGAGTAAGAAAAAGAAGAAAAGATCTAAGCTTGAAAGGTTAACTTTTGATATTGAAGGGGATTTAGAGTTTAGTGGTAGAGGAGACAGGAGGAAGGGGTATTCTAAGATCGGTGACTATGAGAATAATAAGCTCGAACGTGAGAGGTTTGGGGAGTGCAAGCAAAAGGAGGGTAATTAAGGATCTACTGAGAAGGGAAAAGCCTGACATTGTGCTTTTGCAAGAAACAAAATTTCTAGAATTGGATGGAAGATGGGTGGGAAGTGTATGGAGGTATAGAGGAGTAAGTTGGAGTTCTACCCCATCTTGGGGAGCCTTAGGGGGGATTGTCACACTTTGGAAAGATGATGTAGTAGAAGCAGTGGAGGAGTTGATAGGCTGGTTTTCAATGTCCATCAAATTCAAGAATGTGGCGGATGGTTTCACTTGGGTTTTAACTAACATCCATGGTCCTAATAACTACAGGGAAAGAAATGATATGTGGGATGAGTTATATGCAATTCAGGGTTTGTGGGAATGCCCATGGTGTTTGGAAGGGGACTTCAATGTCATGACTCATAAGGTTTTCTAAAGAAGCTAGTAACCCCCAACAATCCATCACAACTAGTATGCGGAGGTTTAATAGCTTTATTGCGGATTATGAGTTGACGAAAAGTCCACTTTTACAAGCTAGATTCACATGGTCTAGTCTATAGGAAACCCCTTTATGGTCAAAGTTGGATAGGTTTATCTTTAACTTAGCATGGGAAAGCTATTGGGAAAACCTGGTGTCTAGAGCTTTGCCTAAGGTAACCTCAGATCATTGTCCCATAAGAATAGGTTTGGAGGATTTCATTAGTGGACCTAGACCGTTTAGGTTTGAGAACATGTGGCTTACCCACCAGGACTTTGTGAACAATGTAAAGATTTGGTGGAATGAGGAACTGAGGGGAATAAAGTGGAAATGGGTAAGGTTTCACAAGAAATTGCAGAGGCTAGGATCCAAAATAAAAGAATGGATTATGGATCAATTTGGAAGAATTGAGGAACAAAAAGTGAGTATAACTTCTAGGATAGAAGAGCTGGATGAGAAAGAGTCTCAAAATGGTTTGCCTGAGAATGAGAGATAAGAAAGGGAACAATTGAAAAAGGACCTGGAAGAGGTGCTTCTGAGAGAGGAAATAAGCTGGAGGCAAAAATCAGGGCACAAGTGGATTAAGGAAGGTGATGGAAATACTAAGTTTTTTCATGATGTGGCTAATGGGAGGATAAAGAATTTTGTGCCTAAGCTAGAGATGGGAGGGGAGGTGTTCACTAATCAGGAGGAGATTGCCAGGAAGTTTGTGGACCACTTTAAATTGATTTATAATAGACCCTTGAATGAGAGGAGAGAAACAGAAGGGATAGGTTGGCCAAGACTGGATGAAGAGAAAAAGAGGTGGCTGGAAAGGAACTTTGAGGAAGAAGAGATTAAACATGTGGTGTTCCTAATGGATAGATCGATAGCTCTAGGCCCAAATGGATTCACCATAGCATTTTACCAAGATTGTTGGGATGCCATTAAAGATGATCTGTGTGATGTCTATAAGGAGTTTGCAGATAAGCGCTTAGTTAGCTGAGGCATTAATGCTACTTTTTTGGCACTAATCCCAAATAAATCTGATGCAATACATCCTAAAGACTTCATACCCATTAACTTGGTGACAAGTATTTATAAAATTCTGGCCAAGGTTCCTTCTCTGAGGATTAAAGAAGCCCTCCCCTCCATCATTAGTCAGGCACAAGGGGCTTTCATTCGAGGACGACAAATAGTTGATCAAATTTTGATTGCAGATGAATGTGTGGATGAGATGAAGAGATCTAAGCAAAGAGGCTTTGTTTGTAAGCTAGATCTTGAGAAAGCTTATGATTTGGTGGACTGGCAATTTCTAATGGTGGTTTTGAGGAAGTGTGGGTTTGGGGAAAGGTGGTGTAGTTGGATGGTTGGATGTGTTAGCAGTTGTCATTATTCCATCCTAGTAAATGGGGTGGTAGGGATTTTTTTTCCAGCCGGTAGGGGTTTAAGACAAGGGGATCCTCTACCACCTTTCCTCTTTACATTGGTAGCTGATGTTCTTAGTCGTATTATCATTAGAGCTGATAGGGAAGAGATTATAAAGGGATGGAGAATAGGTGGAAACCAAATTCCGGCTACCCATCTTCAGTTTGCAGATGACTTGATGATTTTCTGTGATGAAGGATATAGTGAGAAGGTGGAAAACCTGATGGAGTTGATTAAAACTTTTGAAGAAATCTCCCTTTTGAAAATCAACTTAGAAAAGAGCTGCATAGCGGGGGTCAACTTGGAGACTGAGGAGATTGAGGCTATTGCAAGTTGTCTTGAGTGTACTGTATCCTCTTGGCCTATGTCCTATCTAGTGCTTCTGTTAGGGTAAAATCCTAGGGAAAGTAGGTTCTAGACTCCAGTGATAGAGAAATTCGAAGATGTTAGCTTTGTGGAAAAAGAATTATATCTCATTGGGTGGAAGGATCACCTTGATAAGAGCTACCCTCACTAATCTACCTACCTACTACCTCTCTATCTTTATAGGATGCTGCCTAGGGAAGCGAAGAAATTAGAAAAATTGATGAGAGACTTTCTTTGGGAACCGGGAGAGGGTAAAAAGATCATTTAATTAGATGGGAGATTGTGGGTAGAAGCAAAGAGGAGGGGGGATTAGGAAATGTGGTAAAAAAGAATCTAGCACTGCTAGGGAAGTGGTTGTGGAGGTGGCCTTTGGAGCGAGAGAGGCTTTGGCATGAAGTGGTGAAGAGTGTTCATGGGTGTGAAGAAAACGGATGGGATGTTGGTGCATCAAGGAGGGCTAATCTGGCAACTCCATGGAAGGCAATTCACAAACTCCTCCCACACTTCATCAATTATGTCAGGTATGATGTACGCTCTGGTAATTCTGTTCGGTTTTGGGAAGACACTTGGGCAGGGGATATTCCTCTTAAAGACCTCTTTCCATTCTTGTTCTCAGTTTCTTTGTATAAAAATGAGGTGATTTCAAAATTCCTTCCTTCTGTCTTAAACCCATCGACCTTGACTTGGGATTTTGGTTTCCGTAGAGGGTTAGGGGATGAGGAAATCCAGTGTTTGTCCAGTTTGCTTTGTCTCCTTGAAATGATTTGGTTGGACCCCTCAAAGCCAGATAAGAGGATTTGGGCCCCTCATCCAAAAAGGTTTTTTTTTTTTCTTGTGGTTCCTTTTATAAGTCACTTTGCAACTCACCCTCTCAATAGGTTTTCCCTTTCAAAGAAGTTTGGTGTAGGCTAGTTCCCCCTAAGGTTATGGCTTTATGTTGGGAAGTGTGCAATGGGAAAATTAACACTATGGATAACCTACAAAAGAGAAGACCCTTTCTTTGTATCTCAGCTAACTGGTGTACTCTTTGCAGATCACATGGTGAGGACTGTTACCGTTTATTTTTATCTTGTAGTGTTACTACAGAGCTTTGCGTTTGGCTTTATCCTTGTTTGGGTGCAGGTGGGAGATGCCAGCAGAAGTAAGCATGTTGTTTAACCCATTTACTCTTTCTTGGCCCCATAAAAGAGGAAGAAGAATGTGGAGGTGTGTGACAACTGATTTGATATGGACAGTTTGGGAGAAAGGAATGCAAGAATCTTCCAAGAGAAGGGGAGGAGCAGCCAGGCCCTAAAAGACTGCATTTTGATTAGGGCAATACAGTGGTTAAAGACTATGGAACTGTTTCACCAATTTTCCTTTAATGATTTATGGTGAAACTGGTTAGCAGTAGCAAGTTGTTCATCCTCAAAGGAAAGGGTCTCTACAAACTGGGCCCTCCCTCAAGGTTTTCTAAAGCTGAATTTTGATGGGAGTAGCCAGGGCAACCCAGGGCCCTCTGGGATGGAAGGTGTCTTGAGAAATGAGGCTGGAGAGGTTATCCTTCTCTACTTTGGCCCATTGAGCGTTGGGAATTCTGTTAGGGCAGAATTGCTAGATGCTATGCAAGGGGTCCTCCTTGCAAAAGAATTGGGCATGGTGTGGAGTAGGGATGCAAACGGATCGGATCGGATTTGAATATGGGTATATTCGAATCTGATATAACACTGTTCATGTTGGATCTGATCCGATCAGATCTTATAGGACTCGATCTGAATTCGAATCCTATCAGATCTTTGGATCTGATTTGATCTGACTTGTTTTCTTTAAAAATTAATAAATTATTAAAAGAAAAAAATGAAATATACCAATTTGAATAAAGAAAAAACAAAAAAATACAAGTATTTTTTAATTATTTTCATCATATATATACATATTTTTTATAAAAAATAAATAATGTAACAAATTTATAAAAATACAATATAAATAATATATGGATAACATATATATGTATTATATATATTTATGTTTATAAATATATAACACATTGGATCGGATCCTCTTGGATCGGATAGGGGGTGATCTGAATCCGATCCAAAGCTCCGACCAGGGGTGATCCGAATTCAACCAAATAGGATTGGATCTTGGATCGGATCGGATCATGATCYGACCCATTTGCACCCCTAGGTGTGGAGCAGTTGCTGATTGAAGGGGGCTCTAAGGTAGTGGTGGAGTGGTTAAATAATCCACAGAACGTTGTGTGGGGTTACAAGAATGAGCTAAAGAAATACAAATGGTTGACAAGGAATATGACTGTTACTGTACMGTGGGTGAGGAGATCAGCTAATGCCTTCGCTGATAGCTTGGCAAAATAGGGCACAACTCGGGAAGCACTATTTTGGGCTGAGCTGTAATTGTGTTTTAGTACACATGTAAATTTTGCTTTAGATTCTGTGTTTTAAGATTTTATGTGCTTCATATTTGGAGAGGCAGCATCTCGCGCCTTCCCAAGGGACTGATTATATAGTTTCTTTCTGATTTAATGGAAATATGATATTTTATCTATAAAAAAATGTGCTATTTTGATTAAAAAAAACATGATAGATTGAATATTAACTTTAAAATCTCATAGTTTTTGCATCTAGCTATGTTTTATACTTGAATTTCTTTTCTTTTTTGGGTAATAATAGTTCCTTTTTGTATTGATTTTTATCTTTATAAATGGGGGTATGGTTTGCCCTTTCACTAGGGATGTTTCCAGTTTATCAAAAAAAGAAAAAAGAAAAGAAAAAAAGGAAATGTTGAAAAAGATCCCTGGGAAAATTACCATAGATTGGATACTGATTCATCCTTTTTATGTTTTACTCAGTTGTGTTTCTTTAGATGAACCTTATATTTTCTGTAAAGAGCATTGATCATTTATCTACTTCTTTCAGCATGTCAAATCTCTACGAGAAGACTCTGCAGACGAATCTTTGTCAAAGAAGATATCGAGGTTGTGTGAAATTTTTTTGTTCTGTTTAGCAGAACTTGGCCTTTGGTTGGGTTTAAAGGTATATGTTTATTTGTGTCCTCATTAGATATATTTCCTGTTTGGAAGGTTATGTTTACACATATAATCTTCTCTCTCTCTCTCTCTCTCTCATGATAGGCTACTGAGTTCTTGTCTGCTGAAAATGAAGTAATTTTCTGGGGGCCTAAGAGGGATACTGTTGGTGACAGAATTGTGAGTAAATTTTGTCAAGATGTATTCCAGGTGTTCTCAACATATGTACCATCTGGTACGCTTCATTTTTCCCATTTCAAGTGCTCATTTTTATTTATTGATATACAAATTATATCTTGGTCATCACTTTATGCCTTTTATCCTTACATGCTCAATAGGTGTTTCAGAGATAAATTGGCATGCAAATTAATTGCTTTCTGTCCTTATTTCTTATTGATAAATACTTTGCTTAGGTCTGAAATGGTCCATTGGTGGCAGTGTTAGAGAGAACGTTAATGTTGGCTTTTTAACTGATAAAGTCAACTGTCTCATCGAATCACTTTTGGAATACAGGTTTGCATCTTAATTTGCCTTATTATGTTCATTTGAGTAGATTTCCATAAAAAATATGGGTACTTGAGTTGCTTGTTTCAAGATAAAATAGGATTTCAGAAAAATATAACGTGAAATTGGAACTATTGTATTCTTTGGCCATACATTTTGAAACCAAAAGGTTCAGAAGTACATTTTGAAATGTGTAGGAGAGTTAAGTTGTCTAACTTATATTTAATGGGTAGTATTAATTTCTATTGATTTGTTAAAATATTTCTAGGATATTCTTTGACAAGTCTAGGAACAATTATCTGTTCAAAGTAGTTTTGAGACATAGTTTTCAAGGTTTATAGGTGATTCTAGGTGACAATGGAGTGCCTAGTCACCTAGGCCCCTAGGAAAATCAACATGCATATAAATTGAAAAATAGCAATGCTCTATGGTGGGTTGGGGGGGGGGGTGTTCAAACTCTGGGCCTGGGTTTATTCATTCTTGAATGGAGAGATGATACCACTGTCCTCTATTTGGGACTTTTTGAAGTCCAGTTCAGGTCCATGTATTTGGAACCATGAAGTAGAGGTGATTACTATCTATTCAGGGCCAACTGGCCAAAAGAACTCTAGTTTGACAAAGAAGAAAAGAAAATAAAGTAGGAAAAGATAGAAGAAAAGAGAAGAGAAGAAGAAAGAAGAAGAGAAAAGTACCTTCCAAACTTACAATAAAAAAAGGATAGAAAAATACCAAAATAATACCCCTACGACAACATACACAACATATTACAACACTCCCCCTCAAGTTGGAGCACATATGTCAATCATGCCCACCTTGTCACACAACTCATTATGCCGCAAATAGTGGCCTTTTGTAAGGACATCTGCTAGTTATTCCTTGAAGCTGATTTAAGGAGTACAAATTTCACCCTTCTTAAGTTTTTCTCTTATAAAATGCTTGTCAACTTCAATATGCTTTGTTCTGTCATGAAGAATTGGGTTAGCCACAATATTAATGGCTGCCTTGTTGTCACAGTAAAGGGACATTGGACATTAACAAAGAAGCCCAATTCACCAATTAGCCATAGCCCTATACTCAACTTCAACACTAGATTTGGCTATTGCACTTTGCTTTTTGCTTCTCTAAGTGACTAAGGTACCATAACAAAGGTGTAGTATCCACTAGTGGACTTCTTGTCATCAACTGTGTAGCCCAATCTATGTTTGTGTAAACCTCACTTTCATATGACCATATTTCTTGAACAATATAGTCCCTGTATACTTCTTCAGATATCTAATGACCCTCTCTGCCACTTTGAAATGGGAGGTTCTTGGAGCATGCATAAATTGACTGAGAACATCAACGACATATGTTATATCAGGTTGAGTCATTGATAAGTAGAGAAGTCTTCCTACCAACCTTTAAAACTTCTTGACATTTGTCACAGGTTCTCCAGTACAATCACCAAGTTTGTGATTTTCATCAATAGGTGAATTTGCTAGCTTTGCTCYGAACATTCCTATATCTTGTAAAAGATCTAGGATATATTTCATTTGAGAAATGAAGATGACCTTTTGAGAATGAGCAACCTCAATTCCAAGGAAATACCGTAACTATGCCAGATCCTAAACTTTAAACTGCACTACTAGGGATTCTTTTACCTTATGAATCTCAGAGTCCTAGTTCCCTGTAATTACCATGTCATCCATTTACATAATTAGGACCACAACTTTCTCTTGATTACTTATGACAAATAGAGTATGGTTAGACTGACACTACTTGAATCCAATTTGTTGAAGAACCAAGTGAAATGTGCTATACTAGGCCCTCAGGGATTGTTCCAAACCATATAGGGATTTTTTTAGTTTGCAAACTTCCCCCTCACACCCTTGTGCTATGAATCTAGGGGGGCTTTCTTCCTTCATTGCATTTGTCCATTTAGGGATAGACAACGCTTCTACAACACTTTTGGCAATGGAGACTATTTTTTTGGTAGAAACGTTTCTGAATAGAGGAAAGGAGAGAAAGATTTGGAGTCAAAAAGATGCCTACCGGTGCCAACATTTCTATTTATATTAGGGTGACAAAATAAAAGAGGGAAAAGTACAACATTTCTACTTCTGCACTAGTTCTTGCAACCACACTCTACTTCTTACTCCTCCATGTGACAAGATTTCCACCCACAAAGGTGCAATATCCACTAGCGGATTTCCTATCATTTACAAACCTAGCCAGTCAGCATCTGTATACACCTCCACTTTTAGATGCCCATGCTTCTGAAAGAGTAGACCAGCTCCTGTATACTTCTTAAGATACCTGAGGGTCCTCTTTGTAGCCTCTATGTGGGCATTTTTGGAAGCATGCATGAATTGGTTGAGGGCACCTACTACATATGCAATGTTTAGTCTAGTCATAGACAAATACAATAGTTTTCCCACACGTCTCTGGAATTGTTTCACATCTTTTATTGTCTCTCCATCAGAGTCACCTAATTTGTCATTGGGATCAATAGGAGAATCAACCAGCTTCACCCCCATTTTACCTGTGTCTTGAAGAAGATTAAGGATGTATTTCCTTTGAGAAATAAAGATACAATTTTCTGAGGGGCAACTTCAACTCCAAAAAAAAAAAAACTTCAAGGGTCCTAGATCTTTTACTTCAAACTGAGAAGCTAAAAATTTCTTTAGTCTCACAATCTTGCTTGTCTAATCTCCAGTGACAACTATGTCATCAACATACACAATTAGAACTGAAAATTTTCCTTCTCTCTTCATAAATACTGTATGATCAGACTGACACTGCTTGGAACCAATCTGTTGCACAGCTAAGTGGAACCTATTGAACCAAGCCCTTGGTGATTTTTTTAAGCCATTTAGAGATTTCTTTAGTTTTGCACACTTTTTGCTCACTGCCCTTAGCACAGAACCAGGAGGTTGAACCATATACACTTCTTCCTCTATATCACCATTCAAAATAGCATTTTTAATATCCAACTAATGAGGTTCCCAGTCAAAGTTGGAAGCTAAGGAGATGAGGGCTCTAGTGGAATTCATCTTGGCTACTGGGGCAAATGTCTTAGCATAGTTGACTCCATATACCTGTGTGAACCCCTTTGCCACCAACCTAGCTTTATACCTTTCCACTATGCCATCAACTCTATGTTTCATTGTAAATACCCACTTACACCTTACTAGTTCTTTTCCCTCACGAAGGTCCACTAACTCCCATGTACCATTTTTGTGAAGGGCATTATTTTCTTCTTTCATTGCATTTGTTCATTCAGAAACTAACAAGGCATCTGCCACATTCTTAGGGATAGGAATACTGTTAATGGAGGAAAGAAAAGCACGGAAAGAATGTGAGATGTTCTTATAGGATACAAAATGGGTGATAGGAATGTTAAGATCATCAACAATGATGTCTATATTAGGGGTTCAGGCATGTCAATGGGAATAATAGTATCTAGTAGGGAAGGATCTGCCCCCGGAGGATCCGGTGATGTCAGTTCTATAACTTCAGGTTGCTCTACAACTTTTATACTCAATTGGTCCTTTCGACTAAAAACATGGAATGGAGGAAGATCAGGAAGAGTTGGAAGATGCACTTACTTGTGTTTCTCCTGAGCCCTACTTTTCTCTAGGAGAAATAGAAAAAAAGGGCTCACTCTCAAAGAAGGACACATCCATAGAGACATAGTATTTTCGGGAAACAGGGTCATAACACCGATACCCTTTTTGAGAAGACTCCAAGAAAACACACGGAAAGGCACRTGGATCAAGTTTACCACGGGAGGGAGAGAAATCATGAACAAAACAATGACAACCAAAAACACACATAGGAATGGAGAACACAAGGGCTTTGGGAAACAACAACTGATGTGGGGCCTTGTATCCTAACACACGGGATGGCATATTGTCAATGAGATAAGCAACAAATTAGATGACATCCATCCAGAAATGTTTAGGGACATTCATATGAATTAACAACCCACGCGCAACTTAAAGAAGGTGACAGTTTTTTTCTTTCAGCAACCGCATTTTGTTGGGGTGTTCTAGCACATGAGCTATGGTGAAGGGATCCATGTGAGGTGAAGAACTCATTGAGATCAGAATGGAAATATTCCTTTACATTGTCAGACTGGAAAATTTGGATTTCAGTTTGAAACAGGGTAAATATCATACATTGGAAATCTTTCACAACCTTTGGAACTTCATCTCTAGAGTGCAATGGATATACCCACACATATTTGGAATGGTTATCAATAAAGGTAATAAAATACTTATAGCCATTCTCAACGGGTAAGTAACAGGGTCCCAAACATCATAATGAATAATATGAAAAGGAAATTTCTCTTTATTACTTTTTGAAGAAAAAGGATTTCTATAATGTTTACTTGACATAGACACCAACTTAAACAAGTCTGGAAGCAAAAATTTCAATGGCTTAAAAGACAAATAGCCAAGACGGTTGTGCCATAAATAAACCTAACTCATACTGGACTGATTCATAGACTCTATAGCTGCAAGACCTGACTATGTAGCTTCATAACCAACTTTATTCTCCAACACAGAGACCGTTGACCATACTTCCTCTACCAATCGTCACCCCTGAAGTCAAATCATGTATAACACAAGAGGACGGAAAGAAGGTTACTAAGTAGTTCAATGAATTTGTAATGCTACTAATGGGAAATAGGTTTATGGGATGTTTAGGTACATGTAAAACATTTGAAAGAGTAAAGCTTGATGGGAGAGAAATGGTCCCTTGACCAGTTATGGTGGAGAGAGCCATCAACAAGTCTTACCTTATCTCTCCCAAAGAGAAGATAACAGGACTGAATCAAATTGGACTTACCTATCATATGGTTTGATGCACCAGAGTCAATAATCTAGGGAGATTCTGAAGTAAGAGAGGATACATGGAAGGCTGTAGCAGAGTTTCCTGTTGTAGATGCAAATGAGGTGTAGGGAGCAGTTCTAGAGTCCATCTGATGAAGGGATCTACCATATAGCTCAAGATGGTCATGGAAT